AGTATCCAAGTCCGGTGTGGAGTCGACAGATATCTCGGCTGGGCTTCCACTTATTGTCCGGCCTGATTGCATCTTCAGTCGGGGTTTGCAGGAAGGGGTGCCCAGGTGCGGTGTGGAGTCGATGGCCATCTCGGCCTGGCTCCTTTCTTTGTTTGGCTTAATTGTTCGTGTCCTGCTTTTTCTTTCAGGCTGATGAACGTTGCCTAGGGTCGTTACCGCCTGAATGGGTAGTTACTGCTGGGTTTGGGGAAATTCTTATATATATATACTTTTTACATTGTTACAAATCTAGTTATATACTTATTTATTCTTTCACGAATTTTTTTATCCAAGGTTACATTTATCACAGGCCGAACATGCCTAACTCCAAAGAAAGCATCCAGAGGGCTGATTGACGTGGCAGGAGGTAGCTGCGACACGTCCTTCTTGGACCGAGTCATGGCTTGCAAGGCAGCGGCAGCGACCGTAGACTCCACTTTCATGTCTCTTAAGGTATTTATTACAACTCCCCAGATCGGACTGAATGATAGAGTGTCTTTGCTTTTCCCCATAATAGATTTTTCTTACAGCTGGTCTCCTATATCTTTCCATTCTTCCACTGAAAAAAGCAGTGGCGGCACCTGCAGGCGCACGTGTTCTCTAGCCCATACAACGAGCTTTTCAAGGTCCTTATCCTTGACTGCTTCCCCTCATTTAATGATAATGCTTTGAAGCAGTTTTTGTGCTGCTGCAAATTCAATTTCCATGCTAGCAGTCCTGGACAGGGGAAGGGTCCCGACTCCTTCTCCCTGAGTGCCGAAGCGTACCTGCCTTCAGTCTTCTTCCCAGGCCCCTCCGTCCCCAGCTTTCCCCAGCTGAGGTCCGCTTCCACGTCTACCCGCCATGCGAACCTGCCAACCCAGCTCCGATCCGCTTCCACATCTATCTGCCGTTCAAATCCGCTCTGCTGGCCCCGGTCTGCTTCCACGTCTATCCGCCGTGCGGACCTGCCGAGCTGGTACCCTTTGCCTGCAAAGGGTCCGTGTTCAGAGCGCCAGGTAATGGAAAACTGCTCAGACTATTCACTGAGTCCTCATAGAGGTATAGTGACCGTCGTTTATTTCTATCTTTTGCACACTTTTATAGGGTCCTACAGGGTTTGCAGGGCTTAACAAGCTACTGTTGGTTAATACATATTTACATTCTTTTCCATGTACACAATGCCATTGTTTTTCTTGATTCTCGCTGTTCCAGGAGAGTTTCAAGGACACTGTCCTTAGAATTGTCACCTGGATTGAAAGCCGGGTTCTGCAGACAGGCTTTTACTAAAATATCGTGTCCTTGTTCTGCTAAAATATTCTCTACAAAGCTCCCTTCCAACCCAAACCATTCTGAGACTCTCTGACAGTCTATTTACCTCCTGAAATTACTTTGTTGCCCTTAAGCCAATTTCCAGCAGAAAAATTCCAGCAGTCCCCAACCCACAACCACGGTTACAGCTGGATTGCAGCTTCCCGAGCTGAGGCAGCTTTGGTGGAACATGTGACATATCCTAAATTCCTTCTCTGTCAAGAAGGTGTGTGGTCCTGCAGGTAGGACTGATACAGGAATAAATTTTCCCACCAGCTGTTTTCTTCTTAATAAGGGCAGCGGTGGTGGTATGTGGAGGCTCTGGAGCCAAGGGCAGTAATGGTGTGGAAGGAGGCCTCTAATGCATGAAGTCAAAGCATAAAAGGAAGGTTTCCCCCCATATAAGAGAAGGAAAAAATCTTTTTCCATAGTTCTTTGCACCACCATTTCACTGTACGCCAGTTATATGTATCCAGTTGGCCATCCCCCACCTTTTTTACCTTCTCTAGAAAGTTCTCCTGTGTGTCCCCATTGGCACCAGTTTGCTGCAATCCTCTGCCCCTGTTATCCCATTGGTTCTCCCTGACCCCACCTATGCACCATTTTACCCTGTTCCTATTGGACCCTGACCTGCAGATCCACCCCCTCAAACCCATATATAACCCTGGACCCTCCATTGTTCCCTGTCTGTGTTCCTGGACCCCTTCAGTGTGTGGCTGTAATAAACCCCACTGAAACGCCATACAAAAACCCTTCCCAACTCTCCACTGTTGATCATCTATCCGTGGTGTGCTTGTGAGTGTGAGTGTGATTGCAGCCTGCCCAGATGCTTTCCTCCTTGGAGTCACTTTCAGGAAGGTAGCGTCACTTTACCATTGCACCCGATGCTACAGTGGTGGGTGTAATATACGTGTATATGTATGTGTGTGTGTCTATTTCTTTTTCCAGGGCTGCTGTTTTCTATTAAGAGGAATGTCACAAAGCTGTGCCATTTCCTAATTAATAATAGGATAATTATTATCTACACAGGCCAAGTAAAAATACTTTTATATTTTAGAGCAGAATTCACTTTGTGATTCACTAACATTGTTTATATACAAAAGGTCATGTAGAGTGGGACAAGTGAAATATAGAATGTTGTTGTCCAGAAAACAGTGGTTCTTTTATAGAATCATGAAATGGGTTGGAAGGGACTGTCACTAATGGACACAAAGTAGAGAGCGACGGTCCTTAGCACACACAGCAGCCAAGGTTTATTTCAGGAGGCAAAGGCCTTTATTTTGGGGTTTTCAACCCTTTTTATAAAGTGTTCCGATACAGGTTAACCTGGTTGGTACAAGGAACAACACCTCCCTTATCCCATTGATGGGACAAGAGAAAAACACTCTCAGAATATCTGTGTCATTATTTTGAGAAACCAAAACCTTATTTACACAACAGTCCTTGAGAGAGAAAAAGTTTCCCAAAAGACTTTCCCTTGGGAACACAAATCAGCCCGAGAGCCTGAAACTCTTTCAGGTTCAGAAAATCATGTCCACAAGGGACATTAAAGATCATCTCATTCTACCAATCTTCCCCTATTCCAGGTTTCTCCAAGCCCCATCCAACCTGGCTTTGGACAATTCCAGGGATGGAAGTGATGTAGGAATGGGATATAATCACTTAGACTCACTTGTAAAGGGGAACAGAGCTGCTCTGTGTGCAGCAGAGAAATACCTGAAAAGCATTGGCCTGGTTTTTGGTACATAAGCAGCAAGTTAAAATGACCCCAAAACATCCAAATATAATAAACTGTCTGAAGAAAAACATTCATTAAATCAAACACACAGCAAGTAAAACATACATATAGAAAAAAAAAATAAATCTTGCATTCACCTGTGCAGTCTGACTCCATTCAGAGGCAAAGCTGCCAGAAGCAGCTTAAATCCAAATTCCATATTGATGTAAATAAGGATCACACCTGCAGCAGCCATGGAGTAGGGTCTGCCAGATCCTCAGCTCCTGGACAGGACTTGCCCACCACAGGTGCTATATAACTCTGGTGGGTCTGGGAGTCTCCAAATGCCTGAAAATGAGATAGACAAAACATAGAGCTGCCCTACACATATTACAGGAGTTAGAGTGATTTCCCCTCCTCTGTATGTATACATCACTGTATTCAACCATGACATAAAAGAAAAAAGTTGGCTTTCCTTCCTCTTAAAAAGGGAAATAGCAATACCCTGAAATCATATGGCTTCCAGGCAGCTTCCCAAGTACGCTGTTTTCATCAACTAATGCCCAACAATTGCAATTGAAAGCAGATCTTCCTACACTGTAAAAAAAATTATTTTATTAGAAAATATCAGGTCTTAGATAATTTTATTTAGCCAACACTCATCCCTGCATAGTGAAAGAAAATGGGGTATCCAGATAGAGAAATGTGAGTTGTTTAGATGCCCAGGCTCACAACATCCCCAGCAGCTCTGGGTGTTTCCAAACATCAGACTCTGCCTTCTCTTTTTCCTTGACATACAGCCAGCATTTTCCAGTTTGATAGGAGTCACCAGGGAGCTGCTCTGGAAGGAGGAGATGGTAGGTATAATTACTGAACTGGTAATCAGGATTTTCCTGGTTTACTCTGTGAACAGAGTCACAACTCCAGTGGGTTTTCTGCCAGCACGGAAACCTCTAGCCGCATTCCTAGAGAAGGGCCCAAAAGGAGACAGGTGAAAATGAGATCAGATTTGGACTGAACATTTAGTGCAATATTCTACATATACAAGGCTCACAGGAAAAAAGATGATGCAGAATATTTTATATATATATGGTGTGTGTGTGTGTGTGTGTGTGTGAAATACATATGTATATTATATTATGCAATACAGATGCGCAATATAGGAAAGGTCACTTCTCCTTCCATCTCTGAACTTTCATTTTCTTCCTCTATATTTTTGATCTGTAAACACAGACTCTCGGCAAGTTCTCTGGCTCTTTCTTAGGGAAAGAGGAGATCTGTCCAACTGTTTGACAAACAAAGCATCCTGATAACACTTTGTAATTAGTATGTAAGAATTTCTCCACCTGTAATCTCTGGTGTGACCATACTCAATAGAATGGGTTTGTTTTTCTTTTAAATAATCAAAATCCTGGGTTATTTCTGTAATTTTTCCTTATGATTTTTGCTGTCCTAATTTAATTTAACCTGGTTACCCTGTCTATGGCATGTAAATGTCCTTATTTGTCATTCCCCTTACAAACTGCTTTCTGGTCTGTGGGTTTCAAGTCTATTCTTAATAGACAGAAAAGGGAAAAATACTTATTTTTAGGCATAGAGAAAGGGAAACAATCAAGATAATGAAGCCCTGGAAAAATCTCTGGAAGTGAGGTGATAATTCCAATCACTTTGAGGCTAAACAAGCCACATGAGGCAGATTTGGTGGAACGATTTTGTGAAGGTCTGACTTTCACAGGAGTTCAAGCAGGAAACATTCCCAGCTCAGGACCTAAAACCTGGCTAATCTTTATGGCCCCTTGGCAGAGTGCAGAGCAGCAGGGCCCCCCTGCTCTGGAGCCAGGAGCAGCACTCCTGTAGCACGAGATGTCCCTTATCATCTTGTGTTCAATGAGCTGGAGACCAGGCAGTGTGGAGGCAGGTTACACCACCACAGCACGGGTTCAAATTGTCTAGATATGGTCATGAGCAGCTGTGGACAGATCTTGCTTCTTCCCTCATATCCTTTGTTTCTTATTTTTAAAATTTTAGGGCTGCACAGGAATGTCAAGTCTCCAGCTCATTATGGGACCATGTGACTACCCTGGAGTTTGAACTCAGATATACTCCCTACTGAATGAAAACGTGTAAAATGCTTCCAGCAAAGACTATTTTGCACCAGACTGTACTAAGAAATGCAACAGAATTTCAACACTTACATTTCAGAGGCACAGAAGAGAAGAACCATCCTTGTCCAGTGTGCAGCATTTTGGGGGAGGCTCCAGAGCACCTCCCCCATACAACAGCAACAATTATATCAGCCTATGGAAGTATGTTGGTTGTGGTTTAGTTTGGGGAATAAAACATCCTGATTCCATATAATGATGCATGAGCTTCTGTCTAATTAATGCACACAGTTTTGCTTCCTAAAGCAAATCTTCAGAAGTCCCAAAATCACACATTTAAATCAGTAAAATCATGTTCAAGCTGACCATGTTGGGATAGATCACAATTTCTGCATGCTTTATAGCCTGGAGAGATACGAGAGTTTATCTAATATTTGGATAAAGAAAAAGAAAATCCCAGCCCTGATCATTAGGATATTTTTCCCTAGGAGCAGAATATATGGCTTGGACCCTGGCTCACCTCCTGTTTCCTTGTGGTTTTCGCTGGATAAAGCATTCCTCTCCACTTCCTCCTGTGAACATTTGTACCCTGTTGTGGGGCACTAATCAGTATCTCCTGCCCTCTGCCCCAGAGAGACATTTTAGCAAAAAGTGAATTAATTTCTTAAAGTCATAATTAGATATGATAAGATAGAGATAGAGAGAGAGAGATACAGATACAGATACAGATACAGATACAGATACAGATACAGATACAGATACAGATACAGATACAGAGAGAGATACAGAGAGAGATACAGAGAGATAGAGAGAGAGATAGAGATTGATAGAGACAGAGATGATAGAGAGAAACATGGATCTGTTAACCCTTGCTTTCACTTCCTAGGGATCCATGAGACACTATCTCCTGTATCAGAATGGTGGCTCATGAAGAGGGACAGCACTGACAAAGGAGCCAAAGGCTGATGCTGCACATCCAGAAATGCACTTTGGTTGTGGGAAAACTCTTCCAGTTAATCCATCCAATGGGGTAGTTTGGGATTTGACTTCCATCCTTGTAAGGATGTGACACTGTTGATTAAGGAGATTGAAAATTTGAAGGGTTTTGATCAGGGCAAAGCACCAACCAAAGAAAGAGAGGCAAGTTTCAGAGGGAGATGTAAAATTTTCAGTGTCTCTGGTGGAGAGCCTCTAGAGGCACTTAAACTGAATTCGAGAGCAATCTGCTCCATCCAGCAGAAAACGACGCACATCCCTGAGGTGCGACATTGCCATCATGTGGCCATCCCAACTCTGCAGGAACACCAGCAGGGACAGGGAATCGGAACGTTATCCCAGATTTGCAGCTTTTTCAATTGTCTTCAGCACTAAGAGCCTACACGAGAACTGGTGAGGGGGTGACGCCCTCTCCTGACATCCCTCTCCAACGAAAAACACTCGTTTCTCCAGACCTGCCCTCCTTTATGCCAGGGAGAAGAAGCATTTTCTATTTCCCAAGGCACTGCACTCAATGCCAGGGTGACGTTGCACTGCACAGAATAGAGCACAACTGACCATCCAAAATGAACAGAAACACCAGAAATGCCAAATGGAACATTCCTGATGTCAGGAAGCCAGTCTTCAGGAGTAATCTGAATGAGAATAGCACAATGGCCTGGATCAGGAAGGAAATAGAGCAAATATATATATGAACATATATGAGGACAATATACAGAAGTTAGTATAGAGTCAGGAGTGGAAAGCAAAGGAAGTTAACCAAATGATGAATTTAAGGAAAAAAAAAATATACTGACAGAGCACAAAACATGGTGGAATGCAGAAGTGAGCTGTGATAAAATATGCAGATGACAGTGGAGCAGCAACAGAATTAAACACAATCTAGGAATGATGAGGGGCAATGAGAGCAGCAAAGACAAATAATTTCATGCTTGAGCAAAAAGCTGTTCATCCACACAAAATTTATGTTTGCCCTCCTCTGGCACCATGGTACAAAGCATGATTTAGCTTACTCGCAGAATGGCCCACTGTTTCCTGGAATTACAGCCTCAGGGAGGGGGACACAAACTTCCTAAGAAAGGGAAAACCTTGATGCAGAAATATAACAGGAGTTTTCTGTCCAGCTGGCACACCAGGCAGATAAACACACAAATAATTTGTAAAGAAACTCTGTTGGATGTTCCTTAGAACACCCAGATTTCAGCTATAACAATATTGTAGCAAAACTTCACTAATAAAAAAGGGCAATGGTATCAATTGAGAAATTAAACAAAATATTGACAGGCACAGAACAGCAGCTCAGCTCCCACAGTTGCCCGGCCCTGCAAAGGCAAATTCTGTTTGTGTTCCTGTTTCCCAGCAACTGGCACCTGGAAACACCTAAAAGAACCTGCCTGCTGCCACCATCTCAGTTGGGGCCAAACCCCTGCACTGGGAAAGATTCTTCTGCACTGAACTGCCCAAACCAGGGAGGAACCTTCTTCTGCACTACAGAATTTGCAAAGAAAAATTGCAAGAGCCTGTCGCCCTGAAAACTCAGCTTCTGAGCTTGCTGACATAGTTTTCTAAGACTTTCCCAGGACAGTAACTGTAAACATAGAGATAGGTATACATTCCTTCTGTTACACATCTTGTGATGGACATCTCTCATGGCCAGTGGAGTGGGAAAGTGTTATCCTGACCGCCCAATCCCTGGCCATGGTCAGAAACCTATAAATCCTGGGAGGAAAAATAAACTTTCTCTTTCCTTTCACCAAACCTCGAGCTGTGTCTGTGTGATCTATTCAGTGCCAGCGGCAACAAGAGCCCTAAAGTGGTAACTTAAAAAGCCGCTTAAGGAAATCAGGTAAATATTTGCTATTACCCTGAGCTGGATCTGCTGACATGGTAATTACACCTTTTTAAGTTCTTTTTTTTATGGTGTTTGCATGTTTTTTTGACAGATTGAATCATCGATCACCTGTAACAATCCTGGAAAGTGTGGCTGTTTCTATTGTGCAGTTTCTCCTCTCTAGGGTAAAAGAGAAATTTTTACTCATTTTTTTTGGCAAAAAGGCTGATTTGTGAATAATGCCCCCAGGCTCCAAGAGTTTTGTTCTCTTTGTCTTCAACCAATTTTCCATATGCTGCTGCAAGTTTCAGTAGCTTTTTGAAGAGACTGTTCACTATTATTTATGTAGTGCAAAACGAAATGAAGGTTTGAATTAAAATATTACTTTTCTTTTTCATTTAGGACTGTCAGCTCTATAGCACCTGAACTGGGAATTTTTTTAATACAATATGAGTACAGGAGAGAAAAGTTTTCCAAGAATTACTGACACACCAGGGCACTGTGGTAAAGACTTGCAGAGGGCTGAGGCAGACCCATGTGTGTGCCTACCACATATGGATGGGGGAAGAAGCCAGAGTCCCATATAAGTAATTCCACAGGGTCTTTGGCTTCCCACACAGACCCCCAGAGACTCTCCAAAACCTCTTCTATGAGCTGAGGAGCTTCTTGAGCAAAGTCCTTCAAAAAGGCCACATCACAAACTGCAGTACCCAAGGCAAGCACCCCGAGGCTGTGCTGTTCAAGGCGGGTGCTTACCTGGGTGAAGCCACAGCCACCTGTGCAAGCACCAGCTGCATCACCTTCTACTCCAATTTCTCATCCTGCAACGAGCGTTAACTCTGCTGCATGAGGAAAATGTTCAGCTTCCTGCTGAGGTACCTCACCTCTACTTCTCTTAGCCCTATCTCTGCAGGGACAGTCCGCCTGGGACCCTGAGCAACCTCTGCACCCTCTGGCCCTGGGTGATCCTGCAGAAGCTGCCAGAAGGGGCATGGCCATACATGCTCTGCCACTTTTTTTTTGTGTGGCATCATAGGGGCAACCCCTCATCACCCAGCTCGCCAGCAGGTACACAAAACTGACATCAAATTAACCTAACAGGAATTAAAACATACTTTAGAATGGCCTTTCCCCAGAGAATGCAAGGGAACTCAGTTGGACAGCAGAATCTAAAGGCTTTTTCCTCTCTCAGACCAGCCTCCCAAGAGCCTTTTCAAGCCATGGAAGGCAGTCTCCTTCCTCTGATGTCTTCAAGCCAAGGAGGGCTATTCCCAGGTGCATTTCTGCCCTTTGAGAGGGAACAGCTGTATCCCAGACTCAGAAAGATAAGGCATTTAAAAATGCCAAAGGACTAATTCAGTAGAAGTCCTCATTCTGAAGAATGAGGCACAGACCTGCGCTGAGGATGGCACAGATCCATCTGCTTTTTGGTGTGAAACTGAGATCACAGATGGCAAAAAAACCCCAATGAAGTCCCCTCCTGCCAAATTTAACCAATGGAATAACTGGGGGTCTCAAATAATGGATTATGAACATATTTTTGTTTTAATTCTCTACCTTAAAAGCCAGAGTAGTAAACCCTGAACCTCAGTACTCCCTGCCCACAGAAGGCAGTTGGAACTACATGACGTTTAAGGTCCCTTTCAATCCAAATCATTCTGAGACTGACAGTCTATTTACCTCCTGAAATTACTTTGTTGCCCTTAAGCCAATTTCCAGCAGAAAAATTCCAGCAGTCCCCAACCCACAACCACGGTTACAGCTGGATTGCAGCTTCCCGAGCTGAGGCAGCTTTGGTGGAACATGTGACATATCCTAAATTCCTTCTCTGTCAAGAAGGTGTGTGGTCCTGCAGGTAGGACTGATACAGGAATAAATTTTCCCACCAGCTGTTTTCTTCTTAATAAGGGCAGCGGTGGTGGTGTGTTTATATATGGTGTTTACATATTTGTATATATGTGTGTGTGGTTTGTTTTTTTTCCTGGGGCTGCTGTTTTCTATTAAAAGGAACCTCACAAAGCTGTGCCATTTCCTAATTAATAATAGGATAATTATTTTCTACACAGGCCAAGTGTAACTTAAAAAAATAATAATGATCAGGCTGTGGCTATTTTTTAACTCTCAAGGTCACTAGGTGCTGTTGGAGTAGGGGCTCCCTGTGCAGCCTCGCAGGACACACTGTCTGACCAGGGCAGCTCTGACTTCACTTCTATCCCACACAGGGTCCTGTCCAGCCTGGTGCTGTCCTGGGGAAGGACAGAGGGACGCAGACAAGCTCGGGAAGTGGCTCAGGGGAATCTCATGAAATTTAACAAGACTAAGTCCTGGTGCTGCACCTGGGTTGGGAGAACCCCTGGGGTCAATCCTGGCTGAGGGTGAGCAGACGGAGCAACCCTGGGTGAAGGACTTGAGGGTGCTGGTGGATGAGAGCTGGACCTGCCCCATGCCAGAACCCCTCATGCCCTGGGCTGAGCCCCCAGCTTGGGCAGCAGGGAAGGGAGGATTCTGCCCCTCTGCCCCTGTGCTCAGGTGACACCTGTTAAAAATGACTTTTAAATTTTAGACAACTAAGTCAAATTAATTGATAGTATATTTTAATAAATTGGATAAATTTGATAGAAAAAGGAATAGTAAATAGCAATATAATATAAAAGGAATATAATTTAGTAAAAGAATACAATTTAGTAAAAAAGTACAATTTAGTAAATATATTCAGGTATATATCTCTTTCTATATATGTGAAAATAGTTGGCTAATGGTTAAGGATGGTTAAGGCATAAGCAAAACCGACTGGGGTATGGGGGGGATTTTCACCTCGCTTCACATACAAAACAAGATACTTTAAGCTAAACTTATATACTGTATGTTTATACATATTTATTAATGGTTTTTTGTAAGTTGTTTTTTTTATTTCTGATTTTTCTGACTTTACGTTATTTTTTTAATGGCACATGCTTCACGTGTTGTTAGGGGGCTTTTAGTCTTCTTTTGGTGGTCTTTTGGCGAAGGCTTTTCTTTTTCTTTGTTCTTTGGATAACCTCATAGGTTTGCGCATGCGTACTAAGCGTTGTGTTATGTTAGTCCATTAATTAGTCTTATATTTATTGATTTTTAGGCTCAATGCCTAAAGTCGTTCTAATTTTGTCTATCTCAAGGCTGTTTTGGTCTTGAGACACCACTTATCTTTTAAACCACATTCTGTACTTTAATTTTGACATGTAACATCTGTAAAGGGGTACATCTGCTTTGTAACACTGATTCTTGATAGTTTCTAATAATAACTTTAATAACAGTTACAATTTAGTTAGCACGAATCAATTCCATTTATTACACACCCCACCTGCAGAGCTGCCCCAGCCTTGGGGCCCAGCACAGGAAGGATGTGGAGCTGCGGGAGAGTCCAGAGGAGGCATCAGGATGATCAGAGGGATAGAGCAGCTCTGGTGGGACGAAAGGCTGTGAGAGTTGGGATTGTGCAGCCAAGAGAAGCTTTGGGGTGACCTCATTGTGGCCTTACAGTAGCTAATGGAGCTGACGGGAATCACGAGGACACACTATTTACGAGGGCCTGGAATGACAGGACAAGCAGGAATGGCTTCAAAGTCAGTCAGAGCATGGTGACTAACATCAAGGTTGTGAGTTCAATTCTGGTATCAGCCATTTACTCCAGAATTGGATGCGATGATGCTTGTGCATCGTTTCCAACTCAGAATATCCTGTGAATCTGTGAAACTTCAAATTGAAAGAGAGTAGGTTTAGATTGGGTATTGGGAAGAAGTTGTTCCCTGTTTGTGAGGGCCTGGCACACGTTTCCCAGAGAAGCTGTGGATGTCCCATCCCTGAAGTGTCCAAGGCCGTGCTGGATGGGACTTGGAGCAACCTGGGATAGTGGAAGGTGTCCCTGCCCGGGGCAGGGGTGTGATGAGATCGGCTCTAAGGTCCCTTCCAGCGCAAGCCGTTCCAGTATTCACTGACAGCGCTCCCGCTGCGCCGGCGCCGCTTGGGGCGTGGCTGGGCCCGGGCCAGCGGCGG